ACGGGATTGGCTCGTTCGCCCACGCTCCCACAGTCTACCCAATCCATCTCGTACATATCCAAACAGCCATCTTGCCTCCTTGGATACCACATATCCCCACCATTTGATCAAGACACCAGACGCTATGAAGAACCGTATGGGAAGGATGGTGAAGGTATACAGCCACGCATCTAAACACGCCAGAGCGCCAAAATACAACGTCCGCTCCAGGTATGGGGGGAGTAGTAGGACATTCTTCAACCGTTCCAGCTTGACCGCATAAGACTCGTAAGGAATATCATTCAGATAAGATTGGTGAATATACAGTGGGCTTGGTCTCTGGGCTGCAAGCTCCAGCTGCAAGTGTGTGGGAAGTGACATGGGCGGGAGAGGGATCATGGACGGAATAGGTGACGGCGGGCTGGGGCCGGTATATCCTTGACTGGGAGCAGCTGGGGAAGCCTGCTGAGCATTTATAGCTGCTGGGCTTGTCGCAATGGCCGGCGACAGCACATGTCCGTTGAGAGAGCCGTTGGCGGCTTCTCCATTCAAGTTGAGCGGCGTCGGTCGGGGCAGGGGGTTGTATGAATATCGTCGAGGAGAAGTAGGCTGCGAGCCAGTATCCAACACATATTGCTGAGCTCGAGACGTCGGTGGCGTCGACACAGTCCGCGGCGAGCATTGTCTCTGGGCTCCCTCTCGCACATGCCAAAGCCCAGCGTATCCAGCTCCAGCATAAGATTCGGCTGCCGCCCCGTTTGTTTGAAGCTTGTCTAATCTTCTCGGGTCCGGAGAACGGCTCTGGAAGCGTTGTCGAAGTATTTCGCGTTGCTCAGCAGTCTTGGCTGCCATTTCCTGGTCAATCGAATGACGTTCGGGAGCTGGCGCAATTGGCAATGAGTCTGGCGAGCTTGTGAGCTCCTGCACCTCGGCAGCGGTGAGTCGTTGCACGCTGTCACTTGTCTTATTCGTGGAGCTGCTCGTCTGTCTACGGCGAGACTTGACGACGGACGGGGTGCGAGATGCATTCATCCCAACAGGAAGGGGGGCCGTGTCAGAATGGTGGTCGAGAGCGGCGGCTGGGTCCGGCAGCAAGGGGAATTTGGATCGTCCTCTGCCCGACTCATCTTCGGATGCAGATGGCTCATCAATGGCTGTTACGGGCGGCGAAGGATATCCATGAGACCCATGGCCCGGGCCGGTAGACGAAGATGCTGAGGGGGGAGCCGTGGTGGAAAGCGGCGACGAGACGTGGGTGTTGATGGCATCCATGGTTGCTGCCATTGCGGCGAGACCCTTTATGACATGGCTTGCGGGGGCATGGGGACGATGGCAGGTTGCAGAAGTATTAAATGTTAAGCGTAGCTGAGAGGGCGCTGATGTCGATGCTGGTGTCGGTGTCGTCGAGATGGTGTCAATATTAAAGATGCAATTGATGTCAACTGGCCAAGTCAGACGGCACTAGGTCCAAACGGGCCAGCTTGCAGGAGAGGAAGGCGGCTGGCGGTCTGGCGCCTGGGGCAGGGATCAATTAACTAGTATTAGCGCGGTCGGTTGGTGCTGACTGGCAGCGGGAGCGGCTGAGGCTATGGCCGAGGCCTCGAAACCACCACTTGGCATCAATCTCGTGTCAATGTAAATCAGCTATTGCCATGGTCAAGCACCAGCCAACAGCACATATATTGTGGCAAATTTACAGAGCCATCTTGCCATTCTGTTTCATTTTCCTTCTCAGCGTGCCAGGTCATTACATCGCATCGGTCAGCCTGCCTCCTCAGGTCACAAACTGTTCTCGGCATCCAGCCCTAAACACTGTCCCATTGGTATTCATCTACGCGCCAGTTTGTCAATCTTTCACAAAAAACCGAGCAAAGCCTTTTAAACAACCACAAATAAATGGCCCAGGTCCTCCATTCTTAGTGGTCCTCCAGTAGATAGTTATCGAACCAAGCCACTGCCTGCAAGAATGCCTGCTCCCTGGCAAACCTTTGTACCTTGACCTTCAAATCGGCACGAACGGCAAAGCCATGCTCCACCCCAGAAAACAAGTTAATCTGATAAGGCTTCTTAGTAGCCTTGAGAATCACCTCGGATTTGTGCCGTTTGTCAGAGGGGAAGATGCTGTCCGTCTCTGCGGCAGCAATAGACAAGGGACCGCCAATGGCAGCGAGCTCGTCCTCCTCGACGAAGGAGGGATGTGCGACGAAGCCGACGTCGATGCCGTTTTTGTAGTGGCGAACAACGTACTAATAATCGAACTGAATTAGCGAGCCAGATCCGGAGTTTGGGGAAAAAGAAGAAGAGAAAGAAAACAAAAACTGAATTACCTTGGCACCGAAGCAGTAGCCAACGGCTCCGAGCTTCGTTACCCCCAGCCCCTTGATATATTTAATACCAGCCTCGACAATGGGGTCGACATACGGCACAGTATGGGGGTTGTTTCCATCGGTGCCCTCTTTCAACCAAGTCATAATGTCGAAGCCCGCTGGCTTATCATTCAGCTTGACAGGGTCGCCGTTGAATAGGTCAAGCACGACGGTGACGTAACCTTGCTCGGCAAAGAGGTCCGCCATCAGCTGGCTGTTCTGCCAAATACCAATGACATCGGGAAGGTAGAGAATTCCATAGCCGTTGCGGGCTTTACCCTCAGGAGGAGTGGCGACGTAAGCATCGATTTTGTTGTCGATTTTGGTGAGCTTGCCCGTGGGCTTGCCTCTGCAGACAAGTTTGGCAGATTTAGCGACCGCATAATAGCAACTGTACAGTGAAGACTACAGTGTAACAGTCAAGGGAGCAGGGAAAGGCTGCACGTCTCCGAATTAAGACGCTTTGTCCTGGAGGGACATGCGGGGAGCTTCGACGTACTCAAACAAGCTTCCAAGGCTGCAGCATCTCGCAGGGGGGTTGGAAGCCATCTTTGCTTTAAAAAAAAAAGAGAGATAGAGAATGAGTCTCCGCGATTGACTATATGAGCCGTTTCAAGCGGTTCGAGCTTCGTCCCGTCAAATAAAATAAATGAGAACGCCAAGATGTTGACCGTCGAGGAAACTCAGATGCATGGAGCCAAGTGGGCAAGCTCGCTCTTATCAAGCTCAGCTTGTGACACAATGCCCCTCTTGCCTTCCGAATCTCCCACCACAACTAACCAACCTGCCACACGGAAATTCCGCATTGGCTCGAACCCCGTGGTGCTCCGGAGCCCGCCCCGGCTGGCCATGAGTTGCCCAATTTCAAAACACTCAAGGATTTTGTGCTCTTAAGTCCGGATACCACTTCAGACACGGCATTTCCTTGTGTTCTCTCGGTGCCGAAACGGAACCCGTCCATCCAGCTATTGGGTTTCAAGGTCCACCATAGGTTGCATGTTGCAAGAAGCACCCTCGATGAGGTTTGTCAATTTTTTTTTTCTTTCCAGTGGCTACTTGGGGTTTTTAGACCCCTCCCCTTCTATGCGCTGTTCGAGATCGCTGTAAGCTTGTTCAGCTTGTTCTCATCGGAAATGAGTCGGCCGGACAAGGTGTGACGGAGCGGATCATGCCAATATTATTTTAACCAAAACCATCTGAGGCGATAATCTCCACGGCTTTTCCCTACAAGTCGTCTAGTTATAGTGTCATCGACTTCAGAAGGTGTCGTTTATTCATGTTCCATAACATGTTGGGTATCATCAATATGCAAATCTAAAACAAACAGAGTCTTCACCCCTTACTTGGTCCGTAAGCTCTTCGGTTTCCTCTTCTTAAACACCACTGGCGTTATCCCAGCATCATCATCTCCCTCCTCCTTGACTCTAGCTTCGCTTTCCTCCTCTTTGACCTCTCCGCCCAGCACGCTCGCCCTAGTCTCCAATTCCATTTTAACAGCACCCTCTTCCGCCTTCACTTCGTCCTGATGCTCAGACTTCACATCGCCCCCCTCGGCCTTCTTCAACTTTACCGTCCCACTCAGCAGTGCGTCCAACTCTTCGTCTTCCCCCTCCGGCATCTTCCTCGAATCCCTCCCCCACCTCCTCGGCTTCTTGAACAGCCCCTTCACAGCCTCCTCCTCCTCCTTGTCCTCCTCCTTCTCATCTCTCTTCCTCACCCCAGTCGCAACTTTGTCCGCTGTCTTTTCATCGTTCGCTCCTCCATCTCCCGCGCTCTGAATCACCCGGGTGCTCGTAACCGTCCAATCACCAGGTATAGCCATTTCCCCTCGGAAATCCTCCGGCACCGCAACCCCCATCTCTGCCAACTGTTCACGCTGTTTCTTCAGAGAGGATTCCTTGGAGCTGCTCCCTGGGGCGGAAGCGCGGCCCAACCGCAACGGGCCCGTCGAAGAGGTTGTGACAACTCCATTTAAGCGATCGATTTCGCGTCGCGCTCGTTCCTTGTCGCGCTCCTCTCGCTCGTGGTTGCGGTGTAGGTCACGGAGCGATCGCTTGATTGAGTTTTGGTGCTTGGCTGTGGCTTCGTGGTTTTGGCGCTCAAGCTTGGTATCGCGCACAAATACGGCACAGTGCTTGCACCAGTAATTCGGTGACGCTTTCCAATATTCAGTCATGGTTTGTCGTGTAGACGGTAGTTATTCGTGTCAAGAGTACGGAGGAGTTGAGATGTAGATGTCAATGTCCCATTCAAGCGATTCCTGCCTGTAGCTTTATTTCGCATTACGTAATCACGCTCTGCAGCGTAAAGATTTCTACAAAGACTGCCCGAATTCACAACCCTTCCGTTCTCGCAATGGGCAAAAATTTTGACAGTATTTACGAATTTTAGCCAATGAGGCATCAATTCCTATTTTGCTGTGCAACTACCTAATTTGTGTTTACAGCTGTGTATTACCCTGCAATTTCATCAAGTCCAATGTCTCGTAGATACACCCAACACCAACAAAGGAAACGCTCTGGTTTCTCACCAGGGGATGTGATTAAAGGTCTGCCTTGCTCCAACGACATTACACCCATACATGGGGAAAAACAGCAAACCATCGTTTACTCTCCTAAACAGCAAAAGCAAATTCCAGTCCTATGCCATATCAATTTACAGGTAAAGAACGGCACCGAATAGGGCACAAACGGCGGCAGCGACGCCAGGGAAAGACTTATTGGCAGCGGCAGTAGGTACGGCAGTAGGAGCCTTGGTAGTAGCGTTCGTGGGAGCCTGGGGCTGTCCATCCGAGATCTGGGTAACGGGTGGTGGAGGAGCCTGGGTGTGCGTAGGAGCTTGAGGCTGTCCATCTGAGATCTGGCTGACGGGTGGAGGGGGAGCCTCGGTATGTGTGGGAGCTTGAGGCTGGCCGTCCGAGATCTGGCTAACAGGAGGGGGAGGTGCGGCTGTCTTGGGAGGACCCTGAATCTGTCCATCCGAGATTTGACTAACAGGCGGTGCAGGAGGAGCCGCGGTCTTCGTGGGGGCCTGAGGGACTGAGGCACAAGGAGTTGTGCGGACCTGAACCTGGCCATCGCCAATCTGGCACATGGGAATGGGAACGACAGTGGTATGGACCTGAGGCTGACCATCACCGATGACATTGACGACAGTAGTCTGCACCATACTAGTGCCAACAGGCTTGCCACCACTACCGCCGTTGTTGCCGCCATCGCAGGATGTAGCAACAATGTCGATGGGAGAGCACTGTTCAGCCCAGTGGCGGTCATAAAGGTTGTAGAAGTTGCCAGAGAGGCATCGGTAAAACTCAGTAGTACCGTCAAGAGCAAGAGAGCCGTTCTGGCAAAGCGAAAACCCCGAGGATTTGAGGGCGTTGGCTTGAGGAGGGCCGTCAAACTGGAACTGATAGTTGGAGGCAATGTAACCGGTTCTGTCGTGGGAATCCTTCAAAACGCCGTCCTTGAGAGTCATGACCAAAGTGCCTTCGCCCTCGCAGGCTCGCTTCTATGGGTTGGTTAGCGATCGTGGCCTGATTCTCGTGACCCCCAATCCTCAATCGCGAGTACAAGAATCGACTTACCTCAACGCTACGCTTTGCCTCACCACGAGAGTAGATGGAAACCTGGAACTTGCCGTCATGAGAAGTGCTGCAGCCAGCAGGCGGGCTGGCTGCCATGGTTGTGGCCGCAAGGCCAAGGGGAAGAGCTGAAGTCCACTTCATTATGCTGCTGCGGTGTCTGTTAGTTATCAAGAAGTCTGGAGTAGGGGGATAGGAAGTTGGTGATGGAGGCGAAATAAAGAAATAGGGAAAGGCTGTGCTGCTGATGTCACAAACGAGCATCTAGGGGACAGCTTGGGCGGAAAATGGGAAAGGTGAGAGGAAAGTGAATGGAAGGTGACTTCAAGGTGACCGTAGCCTTCGGTGACAAGATAGAGCATACTTTGCAGTTATGATATTAGGCGGATAGTTCGAATTCACAAGGATCAAATGATCAACTCGAGAGACTAGAGGACAAACGAGGAGTGCTCAAGGGTGCACAAGATCAACCCTAAACGATAGATCAATTGTCTTTCCCAACGATAGACGGGATAGATCAATCCAAGTGAGAAAGGCGACAGCGTGAAGCACGTGTCAGTGACGGTGGCGATACTGAAGATCAGACAAGCAGTGAACTGAGAAAGGAAGAGAGGTAAATCAGACTTGGACAACGGGAGGGTGGGCACTGATATAATAGTCGGCTCCCATATCTAATAACTTGGATGGTGTAGGATCGAGCACAACCACCTCTTTTTCTGGGACAGCTTGTTGACCCATAATCGAGTGAAGGCCAAACGCCTCCTTCGGCTGACTGGATCCGTCTCCGGAAGTGCATGTATTAGCGCCGAGGACATGCATGGCTCCTTTGCTGGATGTGAATCGGCCAGGAAGAGGCCAAGGTGTTGTTGATCCACATTTCAGAGGTCGGGTTGGGCGGCATTTCTGATGTCAATGGCAATGGCCGTGAGTACCAATGGCGCCGGACGTTTCTGGGAAAATGGGCTCCTTACACGAGGATCAATTTTCTGTTGTGCAGCTTTGTCCAATACCCAAACGTTGATTCGTCTAATACAGACCTGTGTTCAGAATAAATTTTCATATGGCTATATAGAACCAGAACCATGAGAACTCGTCTTGGACGGCAAATCACGGCATTCATCTTGTCCATTTGTAGGAACATATTGGGTGCATACCAACGGTACAGCAAGGGCCGCCAGCCAGGCCGAACGTGATCAACCCCAAGCTCAAAGGTTCAGACACAGACTCAAGTATCCACCGGCCGGTTACGTCTGTCTACCCAACCAAAACAGAGCAGAGCTCAGTTGACGATGCTGGCAGAGAGATCAACCCAACCACCCAGAATGGTTGATGTTCTGAGACTTCCCACATGTAGACAGACAGTTGAAAGTCATCCAGCTTTGTTTTTCTCATGCACCAAACTATTTTCGTTGCCAGGGGGAGAACCTACAGTACAAGCGTCTCTGGCCAAGAACTTGCAGCCACTGAACGGTGCTTTTGGGTCGCAACGGCTCTTCGGCTCTTCGGCCGTAAGTCAGGATGGATGGCAGGGGTGGATCTATAGAAGGAAGAACTAGAAGGGAACACAGCAGAGCCAGGTTGGTTAGGAGCTCCGCAAAACTGACGAACAATCGTATCCATAACGAATCACTAAGAATGTCTCAGTGTCCATGCAGGCCGAAGAAAGTGGGTGATGATGGTGTCTACCAGCCTCCTGTACTTGTTTTTCCTTTTCCCAGCTGGAATTGTTCCTGCGTCGCGGATGAGGCAGTTCCGCATGCCTACTTAACGATACCTCATGAACACGAGGGACGTTTTGATGTTAGGCTTATCCAGATATCAGGAGGGGCAGATAAACGAAAAACTTTGCTCTCTTTTGCTAAACCGCCTAACAGCTTCTATTGGGCCATTAATTCTTTGGGGGCATTGCCACACCGGGCGACGGCGTACGTTTGCTCACCTCCTGTAAGATGTTGCCTCATGTTAAGTTGGTCTCTGTCCAGCATCACCCCCTGCTGCGTGTTCTGCCGCTGGTTCACCAACTTGGATTTGGCGGCGGTCGTCGAGGTCGCTGGCCGTGCCGCTGAAATAACATGACATGCATTGGTCCTGAACTCCTGGCCAAGAACAGCAAGCTGAGACGACACATCCGCATGGCAAACAGTGGAGGGTGGCTTGGGACAGGGACTTGGCTGGCAGGCAAAGATCGCCTAACAACACAATGTCCCGAAATTGCTGCGGAGCCCCGGACTGTGAGCCGTGCCGTCAATAACGGTTCGAATTGGCATCGAAGTGACAAGCACGCAGTTACGGTAGCGAGTCGAGACGGGATTGAGAGCGATCAACTAATGTTCCATTGAAAAGCCAGGTCGATAGAAGCGGGCTTCATGGGGTGTTGCAGCAACGGTCGTTATTGTCACGTCGCATTCATCATTGGCTTTCTTCAACTAGTCGCCAGTTGACCACTAGAAAAGTGGAATAATAAACCAATTGACGACCTGGGTGCGCCTTATTCACTCATGGGCGAGCAATGAGGTCATTGAAACCGGCTGCGTCAATTAGCCAGAGTTGGTTGAATGCTGGCAGAGACCACGTACCACGCCTTTCGGCGACGGTCCGCCAAGAAGAATCAACGACAGCGGAGAGGGGGAAACAGTACTCCGTAATGGCCAGATGATAGGCTGAGAGCAGCGCGGCCAACCGCGGATCGAGGGGTGTGTTGTGAGCAAACAGGAGCATCGATGGATCGACATGGAACGGGGAAGCAAAGTCATGTTCGCGTCCAGTGTGTGGGAAGTGGTAGTCGATTGATGGTGTCTACTGATGGGGCAGGAGCCACTGAGTGGGGGAGATCGCCAACCCCGGGGGCCCGCTAAGCAACAAGCTGCGCGGGAGGCGGGGCTGCTTCTGCGGCCATCTGGCCAATGTTGCTAGTGGCTACGCTGTACTCCGTACATCGGCTCAGGATTGCTGGGGGCCTGAACGAAGGCGTTACGCCTCTGGTCGTCCAAGCGGGCCCCTTTGCTTCCGCCCAAACTGCAGCACTTCGGCGGCACCAGCACTTGAGTTGATGGCTGGGGCTGGGGCCTGTGCCGTTGCCTCCATGTCCCCTGGCGCTGCCCAAAACGGCAATTGGGCCCGCCTTGAGCGAATGGACTGCGGGGGACAAACAAAGAGGCCAGCCACTAGCACGTGCGTCCAGGCGCCTCCGCCTCAAGTGTTTGGAAGTTGAGACAACATTGAATCCACATGCACACCAAAACTGCTGTCTGCCGTTCCCCAACTCCAAATATTCGATTGGGGGGATCAAGATGCAGAGCTTCAATTATTGAGTTGCATCCCCTCATGACCCTCTCGTCGCACCACAGTTGCTAGGCGACTGGCTGCCGTCAATAAATTTCCGTCGTTGCAACCGGCCGGCCGCTCAACCGTAATGCATCAAGTGCGGCAAGAAGCAGGATGCGTCAAGGCCTCAACGCAAATATTCCGTACAACGGCAAGAATTGGCAATTGACATTCCACTGAAGAAGCCTCAGGAATTGGGCTTTTAGACTTCCGATTTCGCACAATTGCATCCAAGCTACCCGTTGGCAGTTGCATTACTACACCACGCGAGGGACTTGACTTCGACCCTGATCCAGGGCCACCGGCCGTGCGTGCTCTTTTGCTATGCTTGAGATTCCTTTCTTTCCTCTCAAGTGCCCATGAGTTAACGTCCCACGCATTTCTTAGATACGGCTTGTTTGGCAGTGAGCCTTTTTTCGGCCGTGGCTTGCTCGGCGGATCCAACATGAGATCAGACGACTGCCACCAACGGTAGCTCCAAAGTCAAAATAGTATGCTTTGCCTTTATACTAAGCCAGCGAGAATACGAACAGGCCTCAACTGCGTATCACAACTCAGACATGACTAACTCTAGCAGTCTGCATCGTGTTCGATAATGTCTCAGAATGGCGAAGCCAGGCCACAACTCTTCATCGAAGGCTGCTCAATGCTTTATTCTCCCCCCCCCCCCTCCCCGTTTTATTTCTTTCGCACAAACTCTTTTGTAGGCGCGTTCCCAGCACCCTTTCTCTTCAAGATGTCAATCATGGAGTATAGGTGTCTTATGTGCCTCCTCTGGATGTTTGGTCATCGGCCGGCAACCCGGAAACGTCGCCTTGTCTTTTCAAGCGCTATTCCGAACATCCACAAATGCTGAAGAATACTCGACCCATCTGTTCCACAAATGACCCCAACAGTGGATAAACTAAATACTTGGTCGTACGCACCTTGTAGTTATTCCACTGCCGCTTTTGGCAAGGTCTCTAATGGCCCTGACCTGCGATCTACTAGGTCTGACTTGCTCACGTCTGGTCACACAACAAGCCGGCAGCGCAGACTGACTGCTTGGCTAGATGTTATCCTAACACAAGGAGACACATGTGGAACAAAGAATGGAGAGCAGAATCGGCGTACAAGTCGGTTACTAATTGTATCGTGTAATCGATCTTGCGGGCAATCCCAGATGAAACCCTGGTGGCATGTACTATGCCCAAGACATGATGAGTGATATTCACTATCCCAAGCATACCGGGTACTTCTGCGCCATGAACACAGCGACACACATCAGACAGGCAACCAGCCGGCCTATCCATATGGGACCGCTGGTTTTAAAGATGGACAGGTCCCTTGTCCCGCCAGCCGTCCTAACCGAGTGCATCGCTCCAGGGCCCTCTAGTGACAACTGCATGATTTGGCGAAAGTTGCTAAGAAGATTGCATCCAGCATGTGGCCTACATGCCTCGTAGACAATCGACCTGATTCACTCAGAATGGCCAACGGTTGTCGCATTGTAAGCTCTAAAACAATGGCGTCATATTAAGTTGACCCGATTACGAGATTTACATTCCGTAGATATTAGTGACATCACAATGGTGAGATCACTTGACGGATGTCTTGAAACATGGTGGCCAGAATGCCCGAATGAATCAGATCTGGGAATTAATAATCACTGGTGATAATTCGAGGATCTGGTGAATCCACGGTTTTAATTGAGAGGCGTCATGTTTGTTGTGATTGTGTTAAATATGGTATCAATTGCTATAGGGTACGCCCTGGGTTAAGTGCTGGCAGTGTGT